TCGAAGGGTGAGAAGTTGGGCGTAGCGGGCGGGGGGGGGAAGAGGCGCTGACGTGGCAGAAGTCGGCCGGCCACGTGTCAATGATCCTTCCACAGATCACGGGCGGCAACCTTATGACGACTTCTCCTTCCTCTTCAATGATAAGGTTCAATGGACTTGTCACAGCAGCTCCAGCAGCAGGACGCCGAGGTGGCCGCCATCCAGACACTTCACCGGGCAGCAGCGGGTTGGCGAGTACGGCTTGAAGCAGCAGCGGCTGGAGTAGCTCCGGAGTGGAGAAAAGGTGCCAGCTTGGGTGGCAAATGTATCTGGTCGTCTTGATGGACCAGGTCCGGCTGCAAGAATGAACTTGGCAATAGCTATCCGTGATGGCGGGGTCGCAAGGGAGGGAGGGAGGGAGGGGGGGGAGCAGAGAACCCGCTCCGATACCAATGTGACGCACGTGCGGAAGGCACGTGTGGAGATAGTGAGAGAGAGAGAGAGAGAGAGAGAGAGAGAGGAGATGGACACACACGAGAAGCAGCCGCCGAGTGAAGGTCCAGTCCGGCTCAATGAATGAACGAACCACTGAATGAATCAACCTCCCGCCCTGGGCCTAGGCCGAAGTGATATACCGGCCTAGGTCCAGGTACGGGAAAACCTGGTACCGGACCAGGGTCAGGCCGACGGCCTGAAACTGGTCCGGCCTCACTATCGGGCCGCAGGGGTACCGCTACACAAATATGGGAAAGATTGCTAAGTTAAGGGAATGGGATGTCTGGCCATTGTAGGGTTCAGTGCGGATTGCGAGCCAGAAGATCAAAGGCGAGTGCGTGATGGCGCGAAGAAGGACGTTTCTCGAGGAACGTCCCTTGGGCATTGAACCGCCTAGGGAAGTACCGGGTGGAGTAGAGGTTAGCCTGCCGGCGGCAAGTGAAGGCTGGCACCGGGTGGCAGATTGGGTCGGGGTCGAGCTTGCGGAAAATATGGTTTACTTAGCGACGGAAGTTGAGTGGCGTGCGGATGAGAATGGGGAATGGAACCCGGACCCACGAGGGCACGTGTGTGTAGAAGGGCGGTTGTATGTATCAGAAAACGGGTGGAGGGAGTTCGGAGTTCGGCTGGCATCTGGAGAAGACCCGTTGAGCATGTTTGAGGGGGCATGGCAGTTAGTATGGCGAGCGGGGTTTGAGTTCGCAGATCCGGGGGTTGACGATGTAACAGCAGACCTTAGGGTAGCCATGGTCGGGAGTTTCGAATTGCCTAGTGAAAATGTACGAATGAGGTTGCCGCCCTTCCTGCTGGAAAAGCTAGGCGGTTTGGAACTTGTTAGACAAGCAGTAGCCGACCTCGCAAGCCTGACGTATGAAGAGGCGATGGTACATCGAGAATACTACCGGGCCTTCCTAGAAATGGGCCCGTTCAGTGGGGAACAAAAGTATGAGGTGTTGCGCATCCTGCGCGCTGTGTTTAGCACCAGGCCGAGGGTTCCGGTCGTGGGAAGTGAGGTCCTGTGGGGCGTTGTCCGACGGGAGATAAACCAAGGAATGGCGTACGCAGATGATCTGTACCGATTATATGAGCAGACGGAGGAGGGGACAAGTCGGTAATAGGGCCAAGGAGAGGGGAAAGAAATAGAAGGGGAAAAGAACTGCCAGGCTAGGAATCGGGGAGTTGTTCGGGCAGAAAATTAAAACCAAGGGGAATAAGTAAACTTGCGTGCTGTTTAAAACTGTGCAGGGGACTTCTAAGTCGAAAATGGCAATGAGACGCGCCCAGATGCCGCGGCGACCCATGCACCCGCGACCACCCACGGAAAACGGAGGTGGATGGGAGGTGTCACTCCCAGCAGGCTACGCGATTCAAGATTTTGGATGTCGAATGGAGAGCCGTGACCCTGGGAAGAGGACAGGCGTTCATGATGGTGGAATGTTTGTGGGATGGTATGAGGATTAACAGGGGACCGGGAGACGACCTGTATACTGATCTTAGGGTGACGGGGACCGTATACCTGCCAGAGCTCGGATGGCACATGTTGGGGACGGAATTGGCACTAGGGCATGGGTTGTTGCCGATCTTCCAAAGGGCTACTAGGGTACTAAACCGGGTAGGCCAGGAAGTGCGAGGGAGAAGAAATGTGGGGTTAAGGACTCGGGTGGAGATAGGAGGTTGGCGAGAGTTCAAGGCCCCAATGACCGGGCTGAGGTGCCGAGTACCTCGCTTCATGGTGGACCTGGTATTCGGCAGCCTCAAGAGGGCAAGGGAGTTGGTGGACTCGACCCTGGTCTGGATCCACCTCTTCCGACCACAAACAACGAGCATGTTCTACGATGTGTCGGTCAGACATGGGCCATTCTGGGGGAATCAGGCTTGGGAGCTACTGTGAATTACTCGAGATTTTGATATTCGGATTGCCCCACATGTCATTTGAAGAAATGAGCCAATAATTATCAGGGAAATAGAGATGGGCGAAAATTACCTTGCGGGGGTGGCGGACTTGTTCGAGGAACCGGATGAGCAGGGCAGGCCTGAGGGACCAGCATGAGAAAAACGTGTCAGGGAGAAGTAGGGAAATAAAGAATGGGTACTAAGATAAGTAGGCGGCCATCAGCAAAAGAGAGGCAGTGGTTGGAGTTCCGGCCGATCCAATGATGCGGCAGGGAGGAACTAGGAAGACCACCCGCTCCAAAGATTCTGGGGCACTTGGATGCCAATAAGCCAAAAAGGCCATCCCCGATAGGAAAGTCACTGGGCTCAGGTACCGCCCTAAGAATCAAAGCGCGGCAGTAATGAAACGCCAAAGCGGCGGCGGCAAGGCTCCGGTAGAAGAAAACCTGAAGGACGCCCCGGGAAAGAAAAGTCAGAAGAGTCGTACTGATTAATGTAAGACGCAAAAAATATGGGAATAGGCGGGTTTTAGGGATGGGACTAGGGCAGTTATGAACAATCGGCCGCCTTTTCGCAAAAAAAAATAAATTCCATGCGCAGGCTAGGTAAAGAAATGGCGACAGAGGAAGGGATCGATGACCAGCAGAGCTGAGGGAATCAGGGCACGAATGGGGATGGGGAACGAAACAAGGGATCAGCCAGGGATCGAGAGTCAGCCAAACTGGAGGGGACCCGAGAAGACGGAAAGGACGCCTCAATTGTAGAAAGCTCGGGGAAAGTCGGGGGTAGCAAATGGGGAGCTCAAGAAAACAGGGAAAGGGGGAAACGATATGAGAACAAGTCCTCGGAACTCAGCAGGAGCCACCCCTAAAAAGACGAAAGTATTGGATACCAGTCATAAACTGGCAGAGATAGAGAAGCGGACCGCGAAATTTAAGGCAAGACTTATCGAGCAGATGATGGCCGGGGATGAGGAGGACCTCCAGGACGCAGGGTCACGTGAGGGACGCAGGGCCGGTCAGGACGAGGCTAGGTATGAGGGGAAGGATGATAGTCACAAAGGAACGCCTAGCAAGAAGGGGAAGGACAAGAGCGACCCCCCGGCGGAAGGAACGGAAAACGCTATGACCCCACCC